TCTTTTGTCATCCTTAGTCATTATCCAACTTCCGGATGCATAACAAGTCACTGAAAAGATAATGGCTTGAACCAGCCACACCTTAGTCTTTCAGCTGACACCATTGCTCCTTAGCACCTGTGAGAGATTATTTGGCAGCAGATTTACTCAATGCTTAGTAGAATTATTCTTTATAGGATTGCTATTGCTGTTGAGTCAGAACTGACTCAGAGCTGAACCTCCAATGAGTTTTCAGAAGCTGTAAATCACACAGGAGGAGATTGCCTGTCTTTCTCCCTCAGAGCAGCTGGTAGATTCGAACCATCTGACTTTGAATTGACAACTTCTTACCCACTAGACCACCAGAAGTCCCACTGTACCACTAGATGTTTACCAAGGCTTAGTTATTGCTTTATTCGTTCATGCAATATGCTTATGGATACCTACAATGTTTCCTGTCACTGTGACTGTGTCAGGTTCCCTGTGGCATCAGAGCACTGCTAGCAGACAGACTTCAAGGGCAATGGAGACAACTTCCAGTCTTTGCCCCTCTGAAGAGCAGGGAAGTGAGCTGAGGCATGCCAAGGCCTGGAAGGGGGAAGGTGAAGTCCTCTCATTCATAGGAAAGCTGTTATGAGGGTAGCATGAGTCTGGGAAGGGTTCTGCCCTTGTGTCTGAGGCGAGTTTGAAGATCCCAGCCAAGAGCGGATTGGCCAAGGCTTGCTCTTCCCAGGACCAGCGACATCACCTGCTGAGCACAAGTTCCTCATTCATCAGTCCAGGTTTATTAGGATGATGGGGTTATAATTACCCTCACTCAGGAGCTATTATTAGACGTCAAATGCAGTTTTAATTATCATACGTAATAGAAGCTGGAAAACAGCAGGGCCAAGTGGCTTCATAGCTTGTCAGGGTTCTGGCAGTTTTGTCTTGATGCTACCACTTTGTGTTTCCAGACACATCCTAAAGTTGTGGTGTGGCCATTGTGGTAGCTGAACTAACTCCCAGAAGCTCAGCCGTGAGTTCCCAGCTGTTGGGGGTCCTCCCTGTCCACACTTCTCATTCCCCAGTGATGTGTTTCCTACCACCTGCTGCTGCCCCTGTTTACTACCTGTCTGCCAGCTTGTTGTTCAGCACTGGCTTCCATGCTGCTGTGGTACTGGGAGCTAGGCCGTCGGCGTTTTAAATACCAGCAATGTCACCACCGTGTACAGTTGTCAGAACTTCCAGATTAAAACAAGCTAGAAAGGAAGACTTGGAAATCTACTTCTGAGAACTGGCCGGTGACAGCCCTGCGGATCATAATAGACCTTGGACAATACAGTGCTGGAAGGACAGCCCCCTCGGTGGAAGGCATTAATTAATACATTATTAATTAATTAACTAATTAATTAATACGCAGTGGGTACAATGGGACAGCATGGGATTCAAGCATGCAAAGGACTGTGAGGGTGACCAGGGACTCTGAGGGTGACCGGGGGCCGTGAGGGTGACGGGGACAGCGAGGGTGACCGGGACAGCGAGGGTGACCGGGGACGATGAGGGTGACCGGGGGCCGTGAGTGTGACCAGGACCGTGAGGGTGACCGGAACAGTGAGTGTGACCGGGACCGTGAGGGTGACCGGGGACAGTGAGGGTGACCGGGACACTGAGGGTGACCGGGACAGCAAGGGTGACCGGGGACAGCGAGGGTGACCGGGGTCAGCGAGGGTGACCGGGGACCGCGAGGATGACCGGGGGCCATGAGGGTGACGGGGGACCGTGAGGGTGACCGGGGACCGTGAGGATGACCGGGGACCGTGAGGGTGACCGGGGACCGTGAGGGTGACGGGGACCGTGAGGGTGACCGGGGACCGTGAGGGTGACGTGGACCATGAGGGTGACAGGGACCGTGAGGGTGACGGGGAACGTGAGGGTGACTGGGGGCCGTGAGGGTGACCGGGATCGTGAGGGTGACCAGGGGCCTGTGAAGAGGACCTGGGACTGTGAGGGTGACCAGATGACCAGGGATTGTGAAGATGGTCCAGGTCTGGGCAATGCTTCACACTGTTGCATGTGGGTCCCCATGAGTTCCACGCATCTTGATGACCGTGAACAGCACATTGTCCCCAGAGCAGGAGGGACAAGGGAAAGTTGTCATTGTCAAATTGGAGTCTGGGCTCCTCAGGCAGCTTTGGGGAAGGTTCATGGACTTATAAAGCCTCAGATCAGTGAAGAAATATTTAACAAGTGTCTGTAAATGCACATTTCTTGAACACCAGGCAAAATGAGAGGTGCTGTCCCAGTACCTTTAGCGGGTTTGCTCTTCCTACTTCACAGATGAAACGAATATGCGAGATGACAGAAGAGTAGAATCGTCCCATAGGCTCCCAGGGTTGTCAATCTTCACAGAAACAGCCTGCTTCCTCTTCATCCTTCAGAGCAGCTGTTGGGTTTGAACCATCAACCTTTTGCCTGCCAGTCCACCTCTTTAACCACAGCACCGCTGGGCTCCTTTAACATAGACTACCACCCTCTGAGATGCATTTTTGGTCCACATTTCTGCAGCTTTCCCTCTTTGGGTAGTGGGCACTTCGTCAAGTGGGATCTCACTCAGCAGCCCACTGGTGGTAGCTAGTTCAGCTCACACTCTGCCTCCAGCTCCAGGCCGGCCTGGAAAGGCTGACACCCCTGGGGCTTCCAGAACAGAGATTGGATGGCCTTTCAGGAAGCCTGGAAGAACCTGGAAGCTTCTGCCCTGCTGTGTTGTCGCCCAGTTTATTCCAATTCACAGCATGCCCATGTGTTAGAGTAGAACTGCTTTGTATGGCTTTTTGACTGTAGTCTTGATGGAAATAGATTATGAACGAGGCCTTCCTTCTGTAGCACCAGTGAGGAGATTTGAACCACTAACCTTCAGGTTAGCAATCAATCAGGAATCACTTGTGCTACTGAGGGACCTTCCTGTTGCCCTAGCACCACCCAGTTGGTTGCCCTGTAGCATCTGGGACAGGATGGGGAGGGTGTGGCCCCGACCACAGGCCTCTGTGTGCTTCCCACCCCTTGCCTCCACCCTGCTCTCCTCAGGGTGTTGTATTTCCAGTCACCCTGTGTTATGTGGGCCTCTGCTCCCAGCAGAAACAGTTGGGGAAGAGCTATTGTGCAGCCCCAAAGGACAGAGGCAATTCTTACTTAATGTTCATTAGTGAACAGGTAGGAGCCAGAGCCTGCCTGTCAGATAGAAGAATGAACTGGCTGGAGTCACATTACATTGGGGAAATTTGTAGTCAGGGACCGCTCCAAATTACTGACGAGTAAATTATGTCAGTTTGAAGACTAAGGTGCATCTGATTCAGGCCATGGTCCTTTAGTCTCTTGTATGCATCTGAGAGCTGGATAGTGAATAAGGATGACAAGAAGAATTGATGTCCTTGAGCTGTGGTGTTGGAAAAGAATACTGGCTATCCCACGGACTGCTAATAGAACAAGCAGAGTGCTGCTTGAAGGCAAGGAGGGTGGAGCTTCATTTTGCATACTTTAAGCAGGTTGCTAGGAGAGGCTGTTCCTTGGGAAGAGAGACCTCATGCTTGGAAAGGTGGAGGTTCAGCAAAGGAGAAGACCCTCAACCAGATGGATTGGCACAGTGACTGCTGCAAAGGGCTGAGTATGACAGAGTGTGAGGATGGCGCGAGTGAGGACAGGGTTCGGATCTGTTGCTCAACAATCCCTGTAGTCACACTTGGCTTGACAGCACCTAACACAGCAATATAAATGTTAGGGAGCTCTGGAGGCCGAGCGTTTGAAGACTTGCGCTGCTAACGTAAAGGCTTGTGGTTTGACTTCAGCAGCTCCTCTAAGGGAGAGAGGTGGACACTCTCCTCTTAGGTGATTTTCTGCCTCTAAAAACCCACTGGAGGGTCAGCTAGGAGTCAGTTCCAATTCAATAGCAGTGAGTGTTTGTTGTTGTATGTAAACATCTAGTATATTTTAATGTTATCGTATATAAAATGTAGCGAGCTCTGGTGGCCTAGTAATAAGGAGTTATGCTGCCAATCCAAAGACAGACAGATCAAATCTACCAGCTGCTTCCAAGGAGAAAGACAGACAAATCTCCTCCCATGATATTTATAGCTTCTGAAGACTCACAGGAGGGTCAGTTATGAGTCAGTTCCACTCTATAGCACATGACAACAGCAACAACATATAAAATGTGTCTGTATGTGGGGGGCAGGGGTAAGGAGCTGTGCTGCTAGCCCAAAGGCAGCCAGTTCAAATCCATCAGCCGCTTCATGGAAGAAAGATGATTAATCTCTCTTTGTATGCAATTTACAGCCTCTGAAAACCCCCTGGAGGGTCAGCTGTGAGTCACTTCTGATTTGATAGTATGTTACATCTCTCTCTCTCTATCATATATATATATATAATGTGATGTTGTTGTTGTGTGCCATCAAGTCAGAGCTGACCCTGGCTAACCCTTCAGTGGGTTTTCAGAGGCACTAAATCACAGAGGAGGAAATTGCCCATCCTTCTCCCATGGAACAGCTAATGGATTATATGCATATGCACATATAACTATCTAATATGGAGACGTTTGTTTGTATGTATGTATCTCTTTCATATGTACATATCCTATAGAGAAATAAAACTCCCTCAGCACTGGTCACATCAGCTGAAAAATGAGGTACAGAGGGAAAAATGAATATAAAATATAGGAAGTTGGGAGAACTGTCTTCCTCTTTAAGAAGGACCTGGAAGCTGTCAGGTCCTAGGATCCTGAAGGCCAGATCTTAGCAAATACTGATTAAGCACTCTGACCTATGTCATAGTTCCTCCCTGGAGATGGCAGCTACCTGTGAGTAAAGTGAGTGCCAGTCCCATGAGCTTCTTTTGCAAATGAGGGAACTGAGGCTTGGAGAAGCCAGGGAGCTAGCCAAAGTCAGCAGCAAGTGAGGGTGGAGCTGTGGTCCCCCCCATTTCCACCCAGAGCATAGGGGTCCCCCACCACCTTCCTAATGCCTGCCTGTCCACCCCCATCTCTCCAGGGATGGAGTTCGTTGTGCCCAGGACTGGCTTTTATTGCAAACTCTGTGGGCTGTTCTACACGAGTGAGGAGATGGCGAAGATGAGCCACTGTCGCAGTGCTGTCCACTACAAGAACTTGCAGGTAACGGCTGCCCTCCTGGCTGCACCCTGGCTGGCTCCCCAGCCTCCTCCCTTTAGGGGGGCCAGGCGTCAAGCTCCCTGGCATGTGTGGCACTGCTTGCCCGAGGTCCTGGCTCTCACCTTCAAAGCTCAGGCTCCTCGACATTATCCAGGCACACGACGTAGTTCTCTGCTTCCGTGAGTTACCTGTCTCCTTCCACCACTCAGAGACCTATTCTTTGGCTCCAGCTCCCGCAGGCTGCTCCTCCAAAGTGTTCTCAGAACATCTGCCTACACTTGATTGGCACTTAGGAATTTTCTTTGTCTAGTTGGGTTGGGGGTTGGGTTGGTTTTAGAATCTCTTTCCTCCTTAGTCCGTGAGTCTTAGCCTTTGTTTATCTGGCCCGTAATTGAGGGAGACCCCTTTCCAAAACACCTGGCTCCTCTAAATGTAGGTATTTCCCACACTGCTGCTTTTGCTGTGCAGATGGCCCTGAGTGCTGGAAGAAATAAACACAATACAGTCCAGGTACTGGCTCACTCCTCCTCTGTGCTACACAGTCTAGGCCGTGGGGCCAATGACGGTAAAAACAGACAAAAATCCCTGTCTTCGCAGAACTTCATTGTACTAGCCCAAGGCATATAGGCAAAATAAATGTCATTAGTGTGTTACAAAGGAGACAATTTAAAAATATTCTGTATACCAGGTTTTGTCAGCTCCAAGCCCCTACCAGTGGTTGTAAGACATGACACTGGTGGGTTGTGTTTTGTTTGTTTTTTTTACATAACACTACTTTTTATTAATTTTGATGAAAGTTTACAGAGACTTAGGGTTTCCATTACCAGAAAAAATGTATTACAAATGGAAAAGTGATCTCCACAGATTGTAAAATGCATCTCAATTTTAGAGATGTTAAGTTTTGTAAAAGTGTCTTAGGATAAAGGAAATATAGGGTTGTATTTTATATCATCAAACTAGTATGTATTAGGGTTTGATTTTCATAAATGACTTCTGGTATAGGCTAGGATTTAATGATTTGCTAGGATAGCCCTCTACTAGAAGCCCATGGACAAGTATCTGCAGGTGCCCACAGCTTTTATCACAGGAAATCAGATTCATTGTCTGGCCTCCACTTGGGAAGTCCCTGGTGGTGGCATTGTGTGCCCTGATTCCAGATAGTCATGACTGCTGAAGCCTCCGGGTCTGTGAATTGCCTAAAGAGCTCCTGGCCCTGTGTCTTTTACCAGGGACAGGAACTAGGGCCACTTACACAGCTTTGTAACCTGCATCCATCAGGCAGACCCTGTATAAATTGGGAGAGCTCTTGGAATATACTGAGAAGATTCCCCAAACCCTTCAAATTCTTGTATGCTTTGATCAGAAACTCAGATGTGGGCACACCCCCTCATTTTATGAGGGAGGAAACGGAGGGCCACAAAAGTTGATGATTTGTCCCAGATAGTGGAGGTAGGATGAGATCACCTGGTTTTTAATCATGCCTATCTGTGTACTCCGTTAAACTGGTCTTGCAAACTGAGACCTGTAAGTCATGACCTGAGTCACCATCTGCAAGGGACCATCATGGGCTCTGCTCAAACCCAGGTCATTTCAACTTCCTGATTTCCCTCCAGAGAGAAGGTGCTCTGGGATTAAGGTTGCCATGGGCCCCAAGGGGAAGAAGTCAGGGAGCATCTAACTTGACCAGAAGGCCAGTTCAAACTGGGACCCACAGAATGGCAGGGCTGGAAGACTCTTGGCGATTATCTTGTTCAAGTTGTCCCAAAGGTTTGCCCTCATGCCAGCTAAAGTCTTTTTAAAATGCAGCTTCCTAGGCCCCATCCTAGACACACTTACTCATCTTTGCTCTAGGGTTGGGGCTCTGCACTTTAAAACACACGTTCACGTTGATTCTGATACTCAAACCAGCATGGGAACCCTTTAGCTCATCATGAATCCTCACCTGGCTTGTGGAGCTCCCGGGACATCACACAGCCCAGGGCCTTCCTGGGGGTAAGGAAGAGCCGGGGCCTCTAACTCCACGTCTGCAACTGTGCCCCGGAGCAGGCCGGTGCGCTGACTCACCATCTGCCAACAGCAGGGGCTTTTCCTGGGGCCCCTGGGCCCACGAGGCCCGACATTGGCTAAGCCCTCACGTTGGCCAAGCAGGGGTCATGTTTCACATCTTCAGGATCTGGAACCTCAGTCAGAGGCCTCCCAGCTAGGATTTCTATCAGTGGCCCTGTCCCCATTCTGTTGATGCCTCTGTCCCCACAGTCCACCCCACCCCAAGTGTGAACAGTGAGGAATCCAGGCCAGAGTGGCAGGTGCTAGCTGACACCGAGTCAGACAGCTTGTAAACTTAGCACCCCCAGGAGGTCTGGGGGTGGGGTCGGGGTTGCTGCGTGGGTCAAGGCAGCTGGAAGGAGTCTCCATGCCTTCCCGTGGGCGCTTGGGCTGAGAGAATCTGCTGAGGGCATTAGGACAGCAGGTGGAGTCAGTGTCCTCTAGGGAGAACTGGCTGCCTACTGGCTCTCATTCTCAGAGGAGACTTGACCCAGCGCGGGTCCGTCCACATTCCTGCCTCACATTTTCTCACATTGCCCTGGTGGTGCCATGAGTAAGCGCTTGCTGCTAACCAAAAGGTTAGTATTTCCAATCCAACCAGCTGCTCCTTGGAAGAAAGATCTGGTGATCTGCTTCTTCTATAAATATACAGCCCAGAACATTCTAGAGCACAGTTCTTGTGTGGTCGCCACAAGTGAGAATTGACTCAGCATCTGGTGGCAACAAGCCTTGAGGTAGAGAAACCAGGTCCATGGTCAGCAGCCTTCCCAAGGTCTGCGTGATGCCCCCTTTCCCTGCCATGCTATCCCCACCTCTGGAGAGGTTCCCATGGAGCCCACAGTAGACCCATTCACACATCACCTCACCTGGTCCTCAGAATCATCCTGGCAGCGGGGCAGGGGAGGCACTGAGACTCACTCTCACGTTTAACAGATTCAAAATTCGAGCCTGGGAAAAGATGAGTGGCTTTCCCCAAATCCTATCACTTATGATGAAGACCGATTGTTGTTAGGTGCTGTTGAGTTGACCACGACTCATAGCGACCCCCTGAACATTGGATCTGAACCTTTCCGTGTCCCCATCATCCTCATCATCGCATACGCCTGAGCCTCTTGCTGCTGTGTCAGTCAATCTCCTTGAGGATCTTCCTCCTCTAGCCGACCTGCCACCTTTCCAACATGATGTCTTCCTTTAAGGTCCCTTCTAACAACACGACAAGTGTTAAAACAAAAGCCAGTTGTCAGTGAGTTAACTCCACCTCGTGACATGTGTCAGAGTAGAACTGTATTCCAGAGAGTGTTCAGTAACTGGTTTTCTCCAGAACTATGTTGCCAGGCCTTTCTTACAAGGTGCTTGGGGTGGGGGTGGGAGGTGGGAACTAATGTTTCTGTTCCCAATGTTTCTTAGCCATCAAGTTCTGGACTGTTTGCATGACCCCAGAGACCCTGGCTGTGTTTTCTGCCTGGTGCTGGACAACATGTTTTGGGCTTTACAATGGACTTTTAGGCTTTACAACAACTCCCTGGAGCTGTTGCTCTTATTACCCTCTGTTACACAGATGCCAGAGATGTTTGCTAATTTATCTAGTCAGAGCTAGGAATCGAACCCAAGCCATCAGGCAGCAAAGCCCACACACTTAACAATTGGATCTAAGCCAGACTAACTCCTGATACAGTGCTCTTTGCATTTGACCCTGCTGTCCTGCCCAGGGGACCCGGGTTGGGCCCCAGCCAGCTTCCTGTCTGTCTCAGTGCCTTGAATGCAGACATCCCAAGAGCAGAGGCTTGCACAGGCTCCCAGTGCTTGGCTTAGGGCCAGTCATAGCAGTGAGCATTTAGGGGGTGGCCTGGAGGCAGCCCCAGACCCTAGAAACAGGCTCATTTTTAATGACATGGAAGGACCTCCAAGACACTCATTCTACAGCCTGCCCTGACAGGAAACAGGTTGTTAAGAGTCTCAGATGTCAGGCTGTGGTTTTTGTCTTTCACAATTGCAAAAGGACAGCCTTCTCCCCTCCCTCCCTCCCTCGCTAGGAGTAGACTGGCCACTCTTTCTGGGAAACAGGCAGAGGGGTTATGCGGATTAAAAGGGTTGGTATAAGTAAGGCAGCTGCAACAGCCTTTGGCACAGAAGAAGGGCTGTGATATGGTTTGCTATTCTTAGTGTCTGTACTTTCTACTTTTTCTGCACGTAGTGCTTGTAAACTGTCCTGATGAGAGAAGGAAGCCCAGTGCTCTTTGCGGGACCTGCACCCCCAGATGGAGGGGATGGTGGAGGAGAGGGAGTTCTACCAGGGACAGATGCAGGAAACAGGGTGCAGGCACACTCCTCTTCCTCTGCCCTCCAGCCAGGTCACCACTAACCTCCTTCCCTCCCTTCTCCTCCCTTCCCGCCACAGAAGTACTTGTCCCAGCTGGCCGAGGAGGGTCTGAAGGAGGCAGAAGGGGGCAGCCCGAGGCCCGAGGACAGCGGAATCGTGCCACACTTTGAGAAGAAAAAGCTCTGAGGCGCTGCTGTGTTCCTGCTGCTGCCCCGCGCCCCGCTGCTGCTGAGGGAGAGCCTTGCTGGCTTCCTCCAGGACAGAAACTAAAGCCAGGGAGAAAACAACAAACAGGCTGGGCACCATGTTGTTCAGTTCTCAGAGATTCACTGAAATGCCCCTCCAGGTTCCCAGGGGCCAGGTCCCCTGGCTTGTCCAGCCAGCCCAGTGAAGCTCACCTGCTTGCTGACTGTCTCTCACACAATCTTTCAACTTTTCTCTCTTCTTCCCACTGTTGCCTTCCCTTTTGTGCCAGTGATCATTTCCTTTCTATAAAATCCAACTTCTCAGGGATTTTCACAGTGTTTCAAATTCTTGATAGGATGCAGTGGGGTCAGCCCAGACAGAGCCACCGAGGAAGGCATTCAGGGGAAGCTCGTGGGCAGAGGGCGCCACAGACCTGGCGGGAGGAGGCGTCTCTGCCTGGTTGACCACCCCTCCTTTGCTTGGGCAGGTTAAGTCCGGGTTCAAGAGAGGGAACCCAGTAGCTATCCGATTGGCAGAGCTGGGAGTTGCTTCCTGAAACCAAACTATCTTTTTAAACATCCCCTCTTTGAAATAACTTTCTACTGAGAGGTGATTCCAGAAGGCTGCCACATCTGTGCCTTGAAGTAAAATGTAGTGAGACTTGGGGATTCATTCTGGAAGGTCTGTTAAGTTTCCTTCAGACTAACTCCCCCACTCTTGACTCACTCAAGAAGTGTGAAAGCTCGTCCATCCTGGACGATGAGTTTGGCATGTTGTTGGATGTACCATGAGCTGATAGACACAATTCACGTTGACCCTGTGAACAGCAGATGGGACCCGTGTCCTTTCCTGTCCCATCCTCACAGTACCTGTCATGCTCAAGGCCATTGTTGCAGTCACTGTGTCAATCCGTCTCAAACAGGATGTCTTTCCCCTAACTGACCGGATGACCCGCTACTTTTTCTCTTCCAGAGACAGCACCCAAAGTATGTGAGATGAAGTTCACCATCCTTCCTTGAAGGATGTGGTATATTGTTCCTGTTGTGAACTGTCGAGTCGGAACTAACTCATAGCTGGCCCTCCAGCAGGTTTTTGGAAGTCGTAAATTACACGGGAGGAAATTGCCCTTCTGTTTCCCACAGAGCTATGGGTGGATTCGAATCCCTTGTCTTCAGGTTGACAGTACAGCTCCTTACCACTAAGCCACCAGAGCTCCCTAAGAGTCTGGTATAGTCACTTTAATTAAAGTGAAAACAGAAGCTGCTTCTCCCTCCAGTGAAAACAGCAGCCGATATTGGGCCTAGGTCAGATGTTGGCCTCTCTGCAATGCATGACATTGGCTCGGGAAATACAAAAACAAGGAAATGGCATATGACTTTGAATCATCCTTGGGGCCTGCCCTCTGGGGAACCATGACTGGGGTCTAGGGAGACAGAAGGGAGACAGAGAGCGGACTGAAGGGCAGCCTTTGAGGTTTGTGAGGTGTTTGAAGGTGGGTCTTTCCCAGCAGGACAGGGAGGGCTGAGAGTTCCTCAGAGAAGACTTCGTGTGTACTCTTTGATGTCAGAGTGTTATGAAGGTCAGGCCTGTTGATTCCAGTGTGGTTCTGGCACGGGGGACCCAGTGTCTTCAGGTTCCAGAAGGGCATGCATCTGATGATTCTCTGGAAGGTGTTTGGGAAAGAGGCCTGCCAGCACCCTGGAAGGTCAGCAGGGAGCCTGGTGATGTTTATACAGGGAAGATCCTGCCTTGAAGGCACTCAGTGGTGACAAACAGAACGAGGAAGACAGGAAGACGTGTCACTGTCACTCTCCCCTGAGCTGTTCCTGTTCCTGTCTCTAACCACAGGCAGGTAGAAGAGATTGTCTTTCTTGTTTGTTCTGTTTTTCCTTTTTATGTTGGGTCAGAGTGTTACACCACACATTCTGTCCTCCAGGCAGAAAGAAAGGAAAGGTCATCTAATTCAACGTTGATATTTTTTTTCTGTGAGGAAATTGAGGCACAGGAAGACGTGTGGACCATGTGTAAACATGGCAAATGAGAACAAGTAAGGAGTGAATTCCTGAGAACCTGTAAGAGAAGAGTTACCCCAGGAATGCAGACCAACAGGGACATGTGTAAGGAGAAGGTTGAGAAGGAGGAAACTTGAACTCATCATCAGACAATTTTGAGGGGACCTCAGGAATGTTTAGAGAAGATTGTGGCTCAGTTTAGAACTGTTCCTTGATTAACTCCACTGGTCTTACTTAACCTGATGTCTGGGTTCCCAATTCTCAGAAAACCTTTGACCCCATGCGTTTCTTCCCCTGACCTCCAATGGAACCTTCTTTAGAAAAGCCTGGAGCCTCCACCAGAGGCAGGGATTACATGTTTTCCGAGAGTCTGGCAGCCTCATCCCTCAGCAAAGTGGAAGCTGACCTCATAGCTCATCCCCCTCATGCGTTTCCATGGAAATCCCCACAGCCTTGCAAACAGCTGCACTCTTTTTCAGGATTGTAACCGTTCACTTGTAGACAGACTCTCTCCATATTGGAGAGAGAGAGAAAAAGGCTCTGTGCATCAGAATCTTCAGTTTTAAAAGCACCTAAGATTCTCTACTTGTGTATATATATATATATGCATATTTTTAATTTATTTTTCTACAAGTCCTTTGGCATGGTCCTTCAACAACAGTATCATTTGCACTTTTTATTCTTCTGTATCACATACAATGCAGTATTCAAAGCAACCAGGAAAATAATGATTTTTTTTTAAGGAAACTTGTTCTTTTTTCAGTGTTTGTCAACCATTCCCATGTGTCTCTCCTAAAAGGTTACTCAAGAACAATTTAGAGCAACAGACGAGTTTGTACCCTTGATTGGTTTAACAGTAGGTCTATGTAATTTTATTTTCACTGTAAAAAATAAAAACCAGCCCAGAAATAAGGTAGATGTTGGTTGACAGTACTTCCAAAGAATCTGGTAAATTCTATATGTGTGTGAGGACAGCCAACAGCATCAAGGTTCTCTGTTCCGGACAGTCTGAGGCTGTCATCTTGTTAGAATATACTTGAACTGGACCAGAGTTTGTTTGTTTTTTCTTTTGAGCTTATGGAAAATAAATAAATAAATGAGAACACTAGTGAATTTAAGTTTGAGCTTGTAAAGTATTGGAATTTGTGGAGTGACCTAGAAACTGTCACCAGTCCTCCTGATCTGCATAACTGACAGCTAAGTGCTTGTTTTTACAAAAGGAAAATGATTTTTAATAAAGAGAATCTGAAAGCTTGTGCTTTGAGTAGCAGTGTGTCATGCCAGCGGGGGCTGGCTGGGGGTGTCGCTGGATTTAGTCTCTCTCGGGTGCTAGATGTTTCTAAAGAGTAAATTTAACAGGACCAAACAGCTTCTGCTTACAGCTTACCTGGGCCGTCACAGAGGCTGGGAGTCTCATGCTTGAGCCTCTGAGGAGGTAGGAAGCTGCTGGCCCTTCTGGAGCCTCAGGATAGAAGATGCACGTGGCCTTTGCCGACAGCTCTTGGCTTTGCTAGCTAAGGCGTCGTGGTGGGCCAGCCGTAGACTCCTCTTCCATACGGATGGCCTGGGGTCAACTCTTGGCCACTGCATCATTTTTTGTAAATAAAATTTTTATATTAGTTTACTTACAAAGTTTGTATACGTTGTTTCACACCGGGTCCTTCTCCTTTCCTTTACCCACCCCTTCCTCTACCCCTCACATGGAGCATCCCTGTGATTAACCCCCTCTCCATCTTCCTGCCTCTGCTTCTACCCGACCCCCTTGGATACTCATACACATTTTGCTAGTTATCTTTCTATTTTGACAATAATGGTCTTGTATAGTATTTGTCCTTCTGGGACTGAGTGAGTTCACTTAGCATAATGCTCTCCAGTCCCTTCCAAGTTAGGCAGTGATTTTCAAAATCATTGCTCCTGGGTGCTGCATAGTATTTCATTGTGTGACTGTCCCATACTTTCTCAATCCATTCAGTTGTTGAACATTTGAGCTGTTTACATGTTCTTGGGATGGTGAATAATGATGCTGTGAACATTGGCGTACAGATCTCCATTTGTGTCTCAGTTCTCATCTTCCAGGGGTATATTCCAAGCAGTGGATTCAGCCGGGACATAGGGAGTTTCTATGTTTCAGCTCTTTGAGGAAACACTGCCTTCTGGAGTGGTTGTACCATTTTACAATCCCACCAAGAGTGTATAAGAGTTCCTATCTCTCCACATCCTTCCCAACATTTATTAGTTGCTGTCCTGGTAAACTTTGTGGCCACTGTATTTTGCGTACTGCACCACCTGTCTATCAGTAAAGCCTGTTAGCAGAACTTCCAGACGAAAGCAGCCTAGAAGAAAGGCCCAGTGCTCTGTTTGCCCAGATCAGACACTGAAAACACCATAGATCCCAATTTTCAACCTAGCAACTGGTCATGGAGCTGGTGCGGAACTGGCAGTGTTTGGTTCTATTGCATGTGAGGCTGGGTTGACTTGACAGTAGCTGACGATGATAGAGAAGCCTTGCTTCCTTGTGCTCAACAATTTTCCTAGTGACCCCTTGAGTTGTCCTGCACCAGGTCATTTCTGATGAGTCCCTCCAGTGGGGATGATCAGGGGTCAGTGCTGGTGGTGGGTTTGTAGGCTCACGCTGAGTCCTGTCTCTGGGTATCCATGAGCCCTGTGACTTCCTAGCCACTGTGTCCTTGTGGACAGTGATAGGAATCACCTCCAGGGTTAATTCAAGGTTAAGATAATTGCTGATGAAAGCATTCTATATACTATGGGCATTGAATCTTCATTGCTTTTTTAATCCAACTCTGGATTAAACCTTTCATATTTCTTTCTTTTTTTTTCATTTCCATTCATTCATTTTTGCACTTCTCTCCCCTCCCAACCCTCCCCCCTAGTACACTACCCTCTTGGAAGAGTAAAAGAAAAATTCTTCCATTGTTTTACAAACCCTCCCCCAGGTCCACTCCACCATGTAGCCTTTGCTCTAGACTC